GAAATTATTTTTACCAACAATTTCAGAGGAATTTCGAAAGCGTGTTGTTAAATACAATTCAATAGTTAAAGATGTATATGGATGTTATATAGAAAATGTAACAAAATATTTACGTTCATTAAATAATGAACAAGAAGAAATTTTGCCTTTTTCGAATATATCATTTTCTCAAAAACCTGATTATGATAATGGAACATTTGAATATAATCTTCATTATCATCAATCACAACAAATAAAAAATCCATCAATATCACCATTTGCTGGTCTATCAGGTCTTACACATGAACAACTTATGTCAAATTATAATTCAATTATTAGTTCATGGGATCTTGTTTATGATCTTGATTTATCACCAAAAGTTGTTCCATTTGTTGATATTGATTGTCGTGATCATACGAATACATCATATCATTTGAACAGTTATGCATTAGATTTTTTTAAACAAGGTTCCGAAGCATCATTAATTAATGAAAATGGTTTAAGTCCCGGTGATACATATTGTCTTTTACTGGATCTTCATCTTGTACTTTCGTCTGTTAAAACATCATTAGAAGTAATTATAAATAATGAACAAAAACAGACTACAAACAATGATTTAGCAATATTTGAGCAATTGTATAAAACATTATCAAATGTACAAAATATTTTTTCAAGCAACTTTCAAATACAATATCCAAGTCGAAATCAAATGTAAATAATTTCATATTAAGTTGTGATTAAAATATGAAAATTTGCTTTTTTTTCTGTTTTGTTAAGCAAGATAATTATAATAAACTCGCGTTTGTTTCTCAAATTATCTTTTGAACATCATCTTCCTTAATAGGAAAGGTACTTTAAAAGTATAAAAGTAATAATGAAAATTTTGTTAGATTTAGTTACATCTTGTTGCCCGTTTTTCTAAGTAATAATCATCAACGAGATACATAGAACTAAGAAATTTTCACGTATTTTAATATTGAATTTATTATTATTCAATATACATAAAATCATACGACAATAACTAAATTGAATAATTAACCTGAAATAAATTTTCAAAACGCCAGAGAAGCCTCAAATATGTAACAGAGATGTGCATCGTCCAACAAAGTTTTGAGAACAATCACTTCGTGCTCGTCTCTCTTGTTATATGAATCGTTCTTTATGAGATAATATTGGTTTCACTATCTCATTTCGATCAAAATTCAGCGAGTTTCAATGTAATGAGCATAATATATAAATCCACCCATACCCATACCCACCCTACGATTTGTGTAGTTATTCTAGAAGGTATTCATGGTCGAAAACGGGTGTGAGTGTGGTTGAAATGAAGACTCATACCCACGTCTTGATAGATCAGAATTTTATTATTATGATTAAAAAAAATAGAACAGTGGAATAAAAAAGTGTGAAACTTATGACAAAATGAAATATAAAAGTCATTCTTCAGATATTCTCTGATACATGAAAAATGTTTTCATCTAATCATTGAAAATTCTAACAGATAGTAACATTTATCGATGAATGATCTACATTTGTTTCCTATATGAAATAAAAAAATTTCAAATATAAAAAAGACTGAATAATAATAGCTCATTTTCTATTCAAGCATGATAATTATTCATTTTAAATCCTATAAAAAAAGCTGATACATTTACTTGAAAATGATAGTTTGAAAATAGTAAAAACTAATTAATGTTCTATTGATAAACTCTAGGAAGGATTAGTTCACTTCAAGAATGATCCTTTTAAATAATTTCAATAATTTCATATGATATGGTATTTGTTTAGATATTTCTTCTTTTAATTATGAGAAAAAGTTTGAGACATCCATTTATGTAACAATTTATTCTTTACACAACACAATCTTGTTTTCAATAAGATAGTTCTAGGTAGCCATAATCTTCATGGAACATATCAATTTTTAACAATATACTATTATTCTCTTCTCTATTGATAGGAAAATGAATGCTCTGAAAACTGCTAACCTTGTTTTTTAAAAATGTTTTTCCTTATATACAAAATTCAAAAGTTTAAAACATAATCTTAAAACCGCACTTTTATGTTTTTTCCAGATATTATTGATTGGTTAAAACCTTTTTCCGATAAAATTCGACACGAATCAATGCAAATTTTTCTCCTACGATTAATAGTTCACATGAAATCAAATTTTCCGAAATTCGAATCTGTTTATGCAAAATTTATTTACATATCTTTAAAAACAGAATTGAAATCTAAAAGATGTTGATACAAATATTCTGTCAGAAAAGTGGTTTAGTATTATCAGATTCTAAAATTCACAAAAGAGTTTTCTTGTTCATTTGCTTTCTGAAATTTTGAAGTTTACATAAAGAAATGTAAAATTTCATAATGACTCTTATGCTCTGTTTATAATTTCAATACAATTGTTCTAAAAAATGCTTCATCGTTTTTTCAATCTTTATCCACTGCGATTTGCAAATCAGACATTGCCAAGTTTTTTTGATTTTTCAATGAGAATGTACAGAAAGGGCTATAAATAGTACTACGAATAGGGTGTGGATCTTCTTGGGGTGTGGGTGTCTGGGTATGGATGTGGGTGTGGGTATGGATGTGGGTGTGGGTATGGATGTGGGTGTAGACGTGAGTGTGGGTGTGGGTGTGGGTGTGAATGTGGGTGTGGGTGGGTGTGTTATTGGGGAAAAAGAATACATATCCGCACACCCCACACCCATACACATACCCCACACCCACACCCTACACCCATATCCACACCCACACCCACACCCACACCCACCCACACCAACCCACACCCACTCACACACCCACACCCACACACCCGCACCCACACCCGCACCCATCCGCACACCCCACACCCATACACATACCCCACACCCACACCCTACACCCATACCCACACCCACACCCACACTCACACCCACACCCACCCACACCCACTCACACACCCACACCCACACCCATCCGCACACCCCACACCCACACCCT